AAATAACAGAGGTTGGGGTGTAGTGAGCTGTAGATCATGTTAAGGCGAGCCGATCTGTGTAACTGGAGGAACTTTGTTAGCAGAAGAGAAGGCGACCATTGATTCCTGTAGCTTATTAACCTCTTGAGGGCCACGTGCGGTATCCAGACATCACCCGTGATCTGCTAGTGTGTATATGTGATGTGGGTATCAAGTGACCCAAGGAAAAAGGCAACCACTTTCTCTGCCTGCTGAAACGCGTCAGGAGATAGGCTGTGAGGTCAGGCCGCCTGTGTTTTTGAAGGCAGAAGTTAAGCTTTGTGAGGAATGCTTAGATGGACGCTTCTGTAAATGTGCATGTAATTCATACAATATGTGTATGTAATTCATACAGTAACTTTGTGCAGTATACAAAGAAGGGATTCTCCAACCACTGTGCCAGGAGTAACTCCACAGGATATGAGAATGTGCGTCTTTTAAGAGATACAGATGAGGCTTTTTTAGGTAAATGAAACATTCAGAAGTTCCCACAATGATTAAAGATAAACACAGTTCTCAAGGGAAGTTTTATGGCTATAAACAAAAGACATTCTTCTTCGTCTTTCACGTCCGTTTCCAAATTGCACATAATTACTAAATCCTTCCCATGTGAGCCTTGCAGCTTGTGTTCTGTAACTAGATAATATAGCATATGTTTTAGTACCCATAAGTTCCACAACTGAAGTTCAGTGATATCTGCAATGATATTTTTGATTCATTTACTTGTAATTCAATTTCATCTAATTAGAAATAGCTAACAATAACTCTTTATGTTTCAGTCATTATATGACTTACATGAGGTGTCATCAAGAAAATTTTTTATTTACAATTTAAGTTGAAATTTACAATTGTCAGTAAAGAAGGGGTATGTTCAGCATGTTACTATAAGTCATTCGCATAAACCCTTAATTTCATCTTAAAACTGCATCTTGATTTTGTGCCAGCTGATGGATCCCATATCCTAGGAACAGCTCTTTGCTGCTGGGAGATTCAGGTGCAACTGCTGAGCTGAGGACAGAATTTCAGCATTCACTCTCAGCTGCTTCACTTTTTGCTCTTCTTTTTAAATGTCCTTTTTCTCTCAATTTCATATGGCCGTGCTTTTCTTTTTTGTTTGACACTGATCTTTAGAGGGGAAAGAGAAAATGCTGATGAGATTATAATAGTTTGGGGTGTGTTGTGCGCAGAGCTGGGCATAGTCTTAGTCCAATTTTATGCAAGACACCATCATAATAAGGTACATTATTGCGGATAGCATAGTAATCTGTTAAGGGACACAGCAATCATCTTACAAGTCCTGTGATTCATGGACAAATCAATTATTACTGAAATGACCTAAAGGACGTGATTTTAACATGACATGCAGACTTTGCATGTGGATAGACTGCAGTGCGGGATTTGGGCTGTTCTGTCAAGAGCCCAATTTTGAGAATACATTTCCTACCATTCTTTATCAGTATTATGAACTCCTTCCCTTATGAATGAAAATACAGGGCAGCAGATTATTGCGGGTAATCTTTTCTACTCATCTGAAGCAGCAAGTCATGTTTCAGCGCTGTCTGCCGATGATTAAATTCCAGTTGAGATCCGTGACAGCCCTATGGAGCAATGTGACAAAGCAGTGGCAACAAGTTTGACGGTTCAATTCAGAAAATATGTTTCACAACAATAACTTATTTATTTCAACCTGGTGGTTTGGGGGTTTTGTAAGTATTATTTGTCCTACTGAAATAATCTGATAATCCGAAGGATAAAATAACCACTTCTTCATAATTCAACGTACGGCTGATGTTGGGACTGGGGCCAAACCTTCACCTTCAGATCATCCACCGCAACTCTACATGTGAGTTTTAAAGACAGTTTAGGGGAACATAGCTTGTAATTTCAATCATCTGTCTTTAACTGGAAAACCAGATATGAACTTCGATAAAAAAATAGTTGGAGCAACTACTCATTTTTTTTGTACAAAAGGGAAGTTTTCTGTACTTTAAAATTTAAACTTATTACCTGAAAGCAGTGACAGTTTGGGGGCAAAGCTGGAATTAGGAAAGTTGGGAATTCGAGAAGCAGCTGACAAAAGTTTAAAAACTGAATTAATTTTAAGAGTGTTTTGTTATCCAGGAATTAAACTGAATGCCAGCCATTTCTTAGCAGCACTGTATAAATGAAAAGAAATGTGAAAACAAGCCTGCCAGTTCCTCCACATGTTGCTGTCACTGGGTAACTGTTAACACCTACCTTAGTCACTCCTTCAACGGGCCATGAAATTGTTCCAGCTTTTAAAATGTGTGAGAGAATTAAGGCAGGTGCTGGCACATCATAAATGAAAATCTAACCTTAAGGCTGGTACAGTAGTGACATTGTTGCTGTTTGCATTCTTGAAAACACATGGCTTGTCAAGTTGCAATAGAATTATTTTGTGCTTTTATACTGTTAAAACTTGGTGGGGCTTTTGGGCTGCCCACGAGAAGTGGGAGACGTACAGGTGTAAGAAAATATATTAATTATTGATACTCAGGATGTAAGTATGTGTCTGTTGTTGTTGTTACTGACATTGTGTTGCTCAATAGCTGTTGGATTGCTTAAGGAAGAAACTTGCTACAGAAGGTGCTCGCACATCTGCTGATCAAATACTGAACCATCCATGATCCAAAAAAAACCTTAATGACTTATCTGAAAAACCTCTCAGGATAATAATACTCATAAAAGCAGCATAAAAAGTCATATTTTAATTTCACAGCAGAACAATGCTAAGCATTTTTGCATGAAAAGAAATAGCAGAATAGAGAGAGTCATCTTCAGTCCATAGATATTTTTCCTGAGCTCTTATTTAAGCCTGAAATCCAGTGAATTGCGATGCAGCTTCTTATCTCAAGCAATCATTTCTGTTCTCTAAAAGGAGTGCTTAATCTTCAGTTTCTTACAAGGTTCCTCTTATGAATAAAACTGTGTTGAATCATATACCCTCGAACAACTGTCCAGTTTCTGCCCTCCCTTTTTCCAAAACTTATACCAGACTGCAGAATGAAAACATCACCACTGTAAGTGAGGCTCTGTTAAACACTCAGATGAAATTACCTCAGTCATTATCAGTTTTAGGAAGCCTTACTAACAATAAGGTAATTTAATTACTCTAATTACTGATTTAATCACTGTATAAAAATTGCCTTGGTTTTTGTGGCACGTTTAGCCCTATATGAAAATCTCCTAATACAGCATTAGGGAATTAGAATTATCCTGGTACTGAGTGAAAAGAACATACTATGTTGTGTAACCAGAAATGCAACGTATTGCCTGAATATACTTGCTTTCCTAATTGTGGAACTAAAATATTTTCTTCATTTATAATTTGCCTTAAGATGTAGGAGGGACAGCAGACAATACAATAGGATTATTAACCTGTTCTTACTTCTTTCTCTCTTTCTCATTTTCCAAAAGCAGGTCATGCAATTGTGCTTTCCAGCTGTATTTTGAGGCCACTTTTTTGGTTTTATATCCAAGATCACGCTGTATGGTAGTGCTATGCTATTTTAATGTATTCCAGTGACACTCCTATGAGGCAGCAAGGTAGTGCTATTTTCAATTGTATAGGTAGGGACCAGAGGCGCAGAAGCCTAAGAGCAGCCTTCCCATACCTAACTCTGCCCAGCCATTTAGGCTCCCTCTAGACATCCACGGTTAGGTGATCTATCACCTCTCCACTGACTTAGCCTGGATCACGTGAAAGTCTGTGGCGGGCCGTGCGCTGAACTCAGATCTTCCAAGTCCTACGTTAGTACTCTTTTTGCTGGAAGGTATTTCCTTTCTGAAATAAACAGATACATTACGCTCAGGTATAGGGATTTGAATACTGCTCCTCAGTTTGGATTGGCAAGAAGCGTGAACTGTATGGTTTTTGTATCACTATTTGAAAGTTTTTCTGTCTCATTAAATAATTGAGAATGTCATCCTTCATCTTGGGTTTCATGGTTTCTGTACTTACGGCTTTTCGTAGATACTACACTCTCAGGGGAAATCGGCACCAAGAAAAAAGTGAAAAGACTGTTAAGTTTCCAGAGATATTTCCATGCATCCCGGTTACTACGTGGAATTGTACCACAAACCTCTCTGTACCTACTGGATGAGGACTACCTTGGGCAAGCAAGGGTAAGACGGGTCTCTAGATCTCCATTTCTTTTAACAATATTCCAGAGAGTGTCAGTTTTGTTTCAGTGTTCAGATAAACAGCTATATGGCTGATCTGTCTTAAATGACCCACATTACTTGCCTGCCTCACAGCAAACAGACTGCCCATTCCTCCTTTATGGTTACAGCTTTAAAGGCTTAGTCTCAAAGCAACAAGAAAAAGTCTAAATTTATTCAGCATTTTCAGATTCTGTCAACTGAAATTATAATCTGGATTTATCAAAGGATGAGAGATCCCTGGCTGAGTTACTGATTTAAGTAAGCGCAGTCTTGACACAGGATTTAGTTCATCCGCTTGAAAAAAGACAGCTGTCTCTCAGCTGGTATGGAGCAGCTATTAGGCAACCCACAATAGCTCTCCGTAATGGCAAAGGCTAGAAAACAGGGAACATTCACTGCAAAGAACTTCACAATAATCAACACGTGATTCTCTTATTTTGCAGCTCTTATGCTTGCTTTGAATGATACTTTCTAACAAAACTTGCACAACTGATGACATTGAGATTATGTGCCTAGGCAATTTTTATTCTCTGTAAGAGAAGGTTATGTGCCAGGTGTTAGAAAGTAATTAAGAATCTAGAACTGGTTTGAATATAGGCTAAGCGATGGGAGTGAATGCACATTCGATTCGCGCATATGCCATGGTAGGTCATACAGTTAGTCCCAACTCAGTCTCTTGACTGAACTGACGTAGCTGTAAAAACACTGTATGTGGTGGTAATGATGGGTTCTTCTGCGTGGCCAAGTGGGCTTCACAGAAGCACTGTATCTCGGTTCATAAAAGCTATTCCTGTGTATTGGTTTGTTTGGCAAAATGTAATTCATGTTCACCATGAGAGCTATGATTGTGTTTTACTGTAATAAAAACCTAGGAGAATTTGTGCTGAATTGATTTGGGGACATGAAAGAACAATAAAGAAGTTGTGCAGTAAAAGGGAATCTTTTCGTAATGTTTTGGTCTATATTATTCCATGTTTTGTTAGAAGATATTTTTAGTGTCAAGTTCAAAACCTCCTCCATTAAAAATGCAAGTGATATTTTATGCATTATAGCTAAATTTGGTTCCTGATGTCTGATATTTCAAATACATCTCTATAGGTTTCCCGAACAAAACTTTAAAGCTGCAGCAACCAATCCTGTGATTGATTAATGTGGAATAATGATTTAAATCTGCTTGACATTTTGACATACCAGTCATTTGCCTTTTTATATTTTTTTTCTAGCATATGCTATCCAAAGTGGGAATGTGGGATTTTGACATTTTCTTGTTTGACCGCTTGACAAATGGTAAGTAATTTTTTAAAAGTTTTAATTTTAATGTCTCTCATATATGACTATTCTAAAAATCCCTAATTAAATAATTACTAAACATTTCCAGTTTAGATTACTGAAGAGAAACTGGACACAGTTAACTTCTCTTAAAATCATATCCTTGAACTTTTTCAGGCTTTTCTCAGAATATTCACAACTGTAGGATAATGTTTAAAGTGTGTTTTTGTATTAACCTAATCTCCTACATTTGTTATGGTCCCCTTTTCAAGGAAGTGTTTCAGTTTCCTTTACCTGGGAAATTCAAAGTACTTTAAATATACCTATTAGATACATTGGTTGATAAGTCCAGACCTCCATAATCAGTCGATTTCTATCAACATGAAGTACCTTTAACTGAAAATATCCTTCTGTTCAGCAGCAAAATTAGGAAATTAATTAAGACAGTAAAAATCTGTGAAATGTTTTGTCTAAATACATGCCAGTAACACCAGCCCCCCCCCAATGTCTCCGCAATACCTCTTGATCAGGTAGCTGCTGAAGAGGGTCACGATCGCACCTTTCTGCTTTCAGTATTGCTCATAGAAATGAGATCCCTCATTCCTCTCCCCCAGTCTAATTAGGCTTGGCTGGGGTAGACGGTGTAGAAAAGAGTTGGTTTAGAGGGTACTTTAGCTGAGTGACTGGCAGTGAAGAATGGAAAGGACTGCAAACGGCAAGGGAAGCAAAAGCATAATTCTTCTAAATTACCTTTCTGCGCCTCTGCTCAGTAGTCGAGGCCAAATAAGTTTCCATGTCCTCTTCGTACATCTATTCATTTTCTTTCCTGAGTTACATTAAGTAAGAAGACTCCCTTCAAACATTGTTTATATGTTGTATGGGTTGGTTGGTCTTGGGGGGCGGCTTTCAAACTTTTCTGGAAACATTGCTGCTGAATTATGCAGTGCAAACTTTTTAAAATCCTGTGTATATGTATAGTTGATTGTATAATACTAGTAAGGCTCAATTTTGCCAGTTTTCCCAGTATTGGATTCACAGTATGGCCAGCGTAACATTACAGTGGGACTTGAGACCATAAGTGCTGCAATTCATTTTTTCCTGTCTGCATCATCATTATCAGGTGCAATTGTAGCTGAGCTAGGTACATGGATTAATTACCTGTTTGTACAGCCAAATAAAAAAAAATAATGAAAAACTGCTGAATTCTCAGTAATTAATAAATTAGTACAGTATGGCAAACTGAAGTGGCAGAAAAGCCATTCTCCCTTCTGTTGTTTCTGGAGGCAGACCTGGATTATGACGATGATGTGGTTCTCAAACAAGCCTGTCAAAAGATTTCCAGTTAAAACCATGTCGATTTGCCTTCTGTGTCATGTTGAAACAGCAAACGTGACTTTATGGCATCTAGTCACAAGAATGGCACTCCACTGGTACCTGTACCATCAAATCTTGATTATATGTAGGAGTAATTTATATAAACTACTTTTGAGTATATGAGTGTCATCTAAGCTCATAGGTTAGGAGCTAAGGGGATAGGAGCTATTAGTTAGGAAATTACCAAGACTTTTAGTCTTGCTTGGTTTGTAACAACACATGAAGGGAATCTAAGAGTTGTTCCTTTCTGCTTTTAGGTAACAGTCTTGTAACACTGCTTTGTCACCTTTTCAACGTGCATGGACTTATTCACCATTTCCAGCTAGATATGGTTACATTACACAGGTTTTTAGGTAAGTGCTCCCCTCGAAGCCGTCTTTAAGTCCAGTTTACAGCTTAAGAAGGGCGTCAAAGGCAGCACTGGCTTGCTCTGCCTGTCTGTGTAAAATCATGATGTTGTTGCAAATATTCCAGTAAAACCTTTCTGTGATATATATTAGCATACAATTTACAGGCACTCAGGTACTTGGTTCAGTACCTATTAAGTCAGTGGAGGGACTTCAAAAGGCTCTCCATTGGGCTGAAGCGTCCTAGTACCACAATTGCACTGGTGATTTAAAAAAAGTATGTCATGCAGAGATGTGGCCGGCCGAGTAGGCCCACACAGACAGACAGACAGACATTGCAGTGTGTACCCGTGCACAGTACAATTGTGGTGCAGTGTCATTATTTTAGTGACTAATAGACCACTGAGACCCAGGGCAGTTAAAAGCTTATGTTCAAAATTTAACAAATTATATCAAGCTGTCTGGACTGAATAGTGTTGATGAAAGCCCCTGCTGCTGTTACTGCCAACAGAAATATTAGCCCCATGCTGTCAGCGAACCAAAAGAAGAAATTGGCCAAAATCAATTACTTTTTGCATCATGTTTTGAATGCGGCTGAATGCCGGCTGTCAGACGGAGTTTCAAAGGCAAGGTCTCTTGTTTAAGACTGCGTAATTGTCACTTCTGGAAAGCATTCCTCCGGTGGAGACAGACAAAATCTCCCTGCTGCTTCTGACTCCTGTGGGCGGCCGCGAAGTGGACGCTCGGATAATTAGAGCTAGTGGTGTTCAGGGTTTAAAGGATTACCCACTGTAGCTTCAAATGCTTGTGGAGCTGGAAACAGACCGAAGGCTAGGGCTTTCTTTGGCGTTCCCCATGCTGGAGACGAGCGCCATGGGAAATTTGCCCGTTAGCTCTCTGTTTGATGAATTTGATAGTGTCTAGGAGGGCGCGTTGGGCAAGATCACGTGCAGCTTCCACTGCTCACGTGGTGTCCCCCTGAGACCACCCAATGGCGCAGGCACTGCTGCAAGGAAGAGGTGAGCGTGAAGCACGCACCTCCGTGATCTTCTGTGTGAGTGAAAGCTGAGACTTAAAAGGCTGTCGCTTGGTCTTCCAGCTGGACCAGTTCCAGCATTGCACACTAAAACAAGAGGGACTAGTATTTTAAAATGTGACTAAAATTATCACAGAAGATAAGATTTTGCTCCGAATACCCCAATGCTTTATCTTTTGATTCTCTGTCT